GCATTAACAACTTTCCGAATCATCCTGGCCACTTCAGACGTGGAGCAGCCGTTCCACAGCCTGAGCCTGATTAACACTTGCCTTTGGAGAACATAGAAAAATCTACCACTTTATTTCCTGGGTTCTCTTGTTTATGTTGCCCTAATTATTCATTCTTTATTTATTTAATTCTGATGTCGTTGTTTCCTTTTAAATACGTTTACTTGCAGAGATTTCAGGAGGGGTTTGTCCTCGGCTGCCTTGGTCTGTGCCTGTGTGGGAAACAGTTGTCACATTTTCTCCAAACTTGTTTTGCCATTGTCATTACAGCTCTACAGAGCTAATAAAAGGTGTGCTACCGATTTCTACGCATTCCCTAAGCAGTTTTTAATCATGGATGTAAAACACAAGTAGTTGAATTGCTGTTTCTATTTTACTGGCTATGTCAGCCTGTACTTGCTGGGACGTACAGGAATAGCTGGGGAATTTGGTCTGCTTTCTTTCTGCTTTTAAAAAGGTGCATTACGTGAGTTCAGTCTTACCACTTCTCTTACTGCCCTTCAGAGGGCTGAGCATTTTAACATCCAGAATTGTAGATCTTGGAAAAAGGGAAGAAAAGGGGGGTAGAGGGAATGAGGGACAAGATTAACTTGATATCTTTAATTTACAGCAATGCTGTAGTTCTTTTAAGTATTCTTTAGTCTTGCTGGTTTTGATGCCATTTTAAATGCCAACTGTGTCTTAAAATTGTTCACTTTCTAAGCATATGTGGTGGTTCAGATGGCATATGTGATGGCAGCCAGCAGCTGTGCATGCCAACAGCACGTCCTTCCCTCTTGTTCCCTGGCTTAGACCTTCCTGATGTCATTTCTATGGAGATCACCTCACTGGAGAGGGTAAAAGGGAATCTGTGGAACTTGTAAAAGTCTCTTTATTTTTACCATTCAGCTTGTTTCCATGGAAATGGGATCTGTAAGATTGGCAGTAGCAAAGAGCTGAAAGTGAGAAGTCACTTGTAGATTTTATTAGATGGCTCCCAGCTGAGATCTGCAAATACTGATGGCCAAAATAAGGAATAAACCATTTAGGGGAAAGAAATTACAAACTAAAACGTTAGAAAAAACACTATCTGCTTTCTTTTTATCCTCACTGGATGTGATGAATAATGAAATGCTTGTTTAACTGTTCTTGGGTGTGTGAGTTGCGTGGACACACTTGGAACTTTCTCCAGACTGTTTTTTAGGGTAGCAGCAGTTCTATACAACAAACATAGGCCATCCCTTTTGTAGGTTGGGCTTTTAAAAGAGATCTGCCCATTTGAAAGGATGTCTGTGTGCAGTGAGGGGTACATGTCAGCAAATTGCACTGCTGCAGTTGAGGTTCAGTGCATTTTCAAATGGCAGCCTATGTTTTTGTGGCAGAGGCAGCTGACAGCTCCATTTCTGAAATGACTTGCCTTGCTGAAAGGAACTGCTTTGCCAGCCAGTAAAGCAGATCTGGGTGGCATGAACCTTACATATTTGGTTACTCTCTTTAGAATGGAAATCCTTCTTCTGTTTAGGGATAAGAAATAACTCATCACCACTGAGGATTTGCCTTTAACAGATGTGTCCTCTTAGCAGGTAGGAAAGTGCAGGACAGCTGAAGTCAACAGATTTTGCTCCCCAGTCTCATATCCCGTGTTTGTTCCCTCAGTTCTCTGCATGGCAATCCAGCCTTGATCCCTCTGTGTTTTACTCAGCAGCAAATGTTTGGTGTGGAATATCTCACCCGGGGTCCCCCTGTGTGCTGGATATCCCAGTGTGTGGATGTTTGAGCTGCCACCACCTTTCCTTCTTCAGGAGTGAGCCAAGATCCAGGGGCTGGGTGCAGTGAGTGCAGAGCCCTGCAGTTCTGGACAGTTATGCTTTCCAAACAGTTATGCTTTTCATCGAGCTGTATGATTTTCTGTAGCATGTTATCACTAAGATGTTTTCTCATCAGACAGTGATGTGTTTAAAAAAACCCATGCAATACATTATTCTCTTTCTATGGTGTTTATGTGGCCTTTGGTGATACAACCTACTGCATTTGAATAACCAGCTCATTCTGATTTTGTAGATCTGCAGTGCTTTGGTTTAAAATAACAAAAAGTGTGGAACACTGAAAGAAAATTTCAGTGGTATATGGCCAGTACAAGATTTAAATTAGGTAATTAACTCTTTATAATGTTCTCTGTACAGCTGTCAGCTATTAGTGAAGTCCAAAACTGAAACAAAGAGGTTGTAAAGTAGCTCATAACTAAAATCTCAGTGTGATTTGTAGCCTAATCTCATTCTGTGCTTGGATGAGACAAGTAGTCTTGGAATCCTCTTCTACCAATCTTCAAATCGTATGTTCTGCTTAAGAGACTCCTCCTTTATGGTACATGTAAAATGTAACCTCTTGTTCACACTGTTGTTTATTACAATGTTAAATCAGTATTTTAAGTCTTTCCTCCCAAGCCCATTTTGGGCATTTCTTCTTCATAAGTCCTGGAACTCCAGATGTAAGAACTGGCTTTACCAGTGAGATGCTTCTGCTTTGTTTGTGACTGAGGTTTCAGAGGATAAAAGTTTTACACAACTAAAATGTTTATAAATACTCATAGTTTAATTAGCTAGGAACTATAATATGAAATACACCCTGAAGAGAACTAGCATGGATTTGATAAATTGTTTGACTTTTTGTTGCCCACACTGAATTTAACTGTTGCTCTTCCTGGCTGTTTTTACCAGATGAGAAATGCAACCCTTGGGTAAATTAAAAGCAGATTGTGTTTCACACAGGAACAAAGTGTCCTTGTCAGAGGCTACCACAGACTGAGTTCTGTCAGACTGTTCTGTGCCACTGAAGTGGCATTTTGGGATGATGTTCTCCTGGTTTGCACTCCATATCTGGGGCTTGTACTGAGGAGCACAAGCCAACACTCTCAGCTGGATCTACAACCACTCCCCAGGGAATGGCTGCACAGAAACATCCCACAGGAACCTTTCTGGGAAATATTCTATATGTATGATGCTTAGACCACTGTTGCTATTGCACAAAATGTCTTTCTTGCCCAGTGGATGAATTCCTATAAACTGGGAGCTGTCAGAGGCTATCTGGGAGCAAAATGGAAAGGCAGAGGCGTGAAATATGTGAGCTCTGCTTTGAACAACTAAAGCAACGTCCATGTCTGATTAATCCATCTTGACTGAGTGTTTGAAGCCAGTTATTGAAGTGCTGAGCCTTTACTTTCCTGCAGAAGGAGTAGATTTGTATTATTAACCACACAGCTAAGAGCTAACTTGGCTTTAATTTCTAAGTTCAAATTGAGGTATTGATTCAGAGCGAATATATAAATATTCCTGATGAGAATCTCGTGCCAAGGGGAGGATCTGTTGGACATGTTCTCCCTAATGTATGTGAGAGAGAGTAGTATGTTGAGGTTGTTTTGTTTTAAGCCAGATTAGACCAGTTCTGGAGACTGTTCTATCTTTTAAAAAGTACACTGTTTTTAAACCACCCCCTTACTCTTTTAATTCTGGGTTTGGTGTGGTGGGGTGTTGTTTGGGGGATTTGCTCTTGGATTATTTTTATTTGGTGTTTGGTTGTTTGGTGATTTTGTTGTTGTTGTTCTTTTTGAGATCTCTCTGGAACATGTAACATATTTTCCTCTTAATATGACTTGGTACACAAATAAATGTAGAAAGACCTTTTACACTTCTGTTTGTTTATTCTCCAGATTTACATTGTGGCTATATTGGTGTATAACCCCTATTTGTATAATAATGATTAAATGGAACAAGAGGATTCATCTGCAAAGGCCTTCACTTCCCTCATTTCCCTGCACAGCTCCCAGCTGGATGCTGCAGTGACCAGGGATTCCGCTCCTCTGACTGCAAGTGGCAGCACTTGGAATTATTTTTTTCCATGTGAATTCCACCAGCTGTTTGAATTGAGAGTTTTCAGATCGATGGAGCCACGGGTTCCACATCTTGGAGTGGTAGATTTTTCGGTTGTTTGTGGGATTTGTTTTGTTGTTGTTTTATTTTTTTTTTGCTGCTGCTTCCACCATGATGGATCAGCACATCTAAAAGACACACTGAAACTTCTGTGGGACACAAAATTTCTGGATACAGAACTATAACTGGTTCTGTGCTTTGATAAGAAAACATCTCTATCTAATGCTGCACTTGATATTTTGAGTGGAAAGCTGACTCGACTATATTGAAGCTATTTTGGGGGTGTTTGTAATCATTTGGAGTATCTAATTATGTAATAAATGAGGCATTTGATATAAACTTATGGATTGTATTTTAATTTTTTTTTGAGATCCTCTATGCAGGAATTTCCACCAGAATTTGGGAATGTTTGGTGAAGTTAATGTAAGGAAAACCTGGAGGGGTAATGGGGAGAGGGAAAAAGCTCCTCCTTCACCTTCAAACTGCAAGAGAATTTGTAAAGGCAACAACAGCACGATGCCTGTGACAGTTGGGTTTTTCTGGTTGGTTTTTGTTTGGGGGAAATAGGTGTAATACAGGTGCTGCGCAGCTAGAAATGAAACACCTCTGTGTACAGTTAAATGTTTTGGGGGGAACTGTGGAAACCAAGAGAGCCTACACAGAACACCTCAGCCCCTGGCATAGCAGACAGGAATATTCTAGCAAAATTTATCCACCTAGATCATACCCAGGAATGTTCTTAGCCTTAATAAATTTCCTAATGCAGTCATGGGCAGTATTTCCTCCTTTGCTGAGCCCCAGTAATTTTTTTAAATTTTAAATTTCTATTCTAAAAATAGAAGTTTATTGTAGAGTTTCTGACATAACTCATGTAGTGTTCTGGAGTTGGTATCTGTTTTTAACTGCTGTTAAAAAGCCTTGAAGCAAGTAATTATTCTTAGTTTAGCCACAGGTGCACACCCATGGGACCTGTGTGTGCGTGAACGGGCTCTGTGTGTGTGCACATGCACGATCGCTCTTTTTCTTTGTTTTTAAACCATTTCTTTCTCTTTGCAGTGGGATGCCATAACTGAAATGGACGAGCACAACCGCCCCATCCACACCTACCAGGTGTGCAACGTGATGGAGCCCAACCAGAACAACTGGCTGCAGACCAGCTGGATCTCCCGGGAGGCCGCGCAGAAGATCTACGTGGAGATGAAGTTCACCCTGCGGGACTGCAACAGCATCCCCTGGGTGCTGGGCACCTGCAAGGAGACCTTCAACCTCTACTACATGGAGGCGGACGAGCCCCACGGGGCGCGGTTCAAGCCGGGCCAGTACAGCAAGATCGACACCATGTGGCCGGCGAGGCTTCAACGCAGTGGACCTGGGCGACCGCATCCTCAAGCTCAACACCGAGGTGCGGGAGGTGGGGCCCATCGGCAGGAAGGGCTTCTACCTGGCCTTCCAGGACATGGGGGCCTGCATCGCGCTGGTGTCGGTGCGCGTGTACTACAAGAAGTGCCCGCTGACGGTGCGGAACCTGGCCGTGTTCCCCGACACCGTGCCCAGGGTGGACTCGTCGTCGCTGGTGGAGGTGCGGGGCTCGTGCGTGCAGAGCGCCGAGGAGCGCGACACCCCCAAGCTCTACTGCGGGGCCGACGGCGACTGGCTCGTGCCGCTGGGCCGCTGCATCTGCTCCGTGGGCTACGAGGAACTGGAGGGCTCCTGCCGCGGTGAGTGAATGCTAGTGCATCTTTATTCTCTTTTGAGCTTTCAATTTAAAAAAAAACAACAACCTTGTGGTGTCATATATGCTTTGTGTGTTCTGTTCTGCCGTCCAGAATGATTTCACAGTGACGTGGGGATGCTCTTTTCCGGAGGAGTAATTGCAAAGAAAGCCTCAGAAACCAGCGAGATGTGAGGCTGCTGTGATTTACGTCGGCTTTTTCAGCAAACAGGGAGAGAAAGAGTCCGTGTCCATGAGTTACATTAATGGCATTACTGTTTTGCTGCAGTTTCTCAGATTTGATGGTATTAGGCAAGCAGCGCAGCAACCTTAGATAATGCAGAGCATTAAAAGCACTGTGCATTGTAAGCAGAAAATGAGATTGACTTTGTTGTCTGGTCTTGCTGGCGTTAATTATCAGAACATACTCATTGCAAAGATACAGTGTTGGCAGTGCCATTACTGGAGGCATCGTTTTCTGTGTGAGGTCAAAAGGTGTCTCTTTTAATGGGGTAAGGGTTTTCTTTGAGACTTTAATGCTGAATGAATTTCTGTCCATGATGGGAGTGAGTCACACTCTGCATCTCCCCATGAGCAGTGCAGCCAGCAGAGTTCACCACAAGTGCTTCCTGCTGCACATTGACTCCCCTGGTTTGTCCAGTCTGTCCAAGCTGCTGCTGAACTGGTACCTGGTAAATGAAATGGAGTTCCTAAAGCCACAGATGTTTGCATATTCTCAGCTGTTTGCCCCAGGAGTAACAAATTACTATTTTAGGAAACTGCAATCTGGTGGAACTTCCATACCTTTTGCAATCGTTTTCACTGGTGTCTGATGTTGTCCTTTCACTTTTCTCCAGTGTATTTTAATATTGGTGCTACGTTTTTCTGACAACTTTTCAAACTGTGTTTGTCTTGCACTGCCTCATGGATATCTTGCCTAAGGCAAACCCCAGTGCAGAAGATGCTTTCATAACTAAAGAGCAGTGATGATTTTTTCTCTGGTGCCCGCTCTGCAGTGTCTGAGGGTGGGCACGTTTGTCTCTGTGCCAAAGCTGGTGGTGGAGATGCCTCTGGGACAGCTGGGGATGTGTTTTTACACTGTGACTGTTGTGAAGTGAGCTGAGATTGAGAGCAGTCTTTCAAATAGCCATAATGTCTGATTCTGAGACTTTGCTTCTTGGCTCAGGTGTGAATTGAAAATTGAGTTGAAAAGACTTGTTGTGTCAGTAAGTCTTCTACTAACTCTTTAATACTCATCAAATCAGAAAACACCTGACTGATACTAACTCTCTAAGGGAAAACACAAACTATTTACATTTAGCTTGTTGTCATAGGAGCAGGATGTTGGGGTCTAGGTGGGGGAAGAGTAGAAGCCATTACATCTTAGTGTGATAAGAAGACCTGAGTTATATTTATACAGTTTTCATGTCTTTGAGCTCCTTCCTCCAAATCCCGACCCCAAACCCTTCTGTCCTTCCCATTCCCTCACTGGAGCTGCAAATCTGAGTCTTGAAAGTGTTTGACACCGTTGTATTGGTGCTTCCTGTAGTCATGCTCTGTGACATATTCAAAAGAGAGGATTATTTCTCGCCTCTGCACAAAACTAACAGTCAAAATAACAATTTTGCACTTGGAAATCTGTTCTGACAGCTGGGTGATGGGCAGTGCTTGCTAATAGTTGGGTTTTTCCTACGTGCAAATGGTGTCAAACTTACTGCACACCATCGTGTGGCTCGGGGGGGAATAAGCACTTCATGGCAAATGGGGTTTGTCTGTCACAGAATTTAAAGAGTAAATTTCTGGTTTGATACCTGTGGAGATGTGCAGGCTCTCTTCAGGAACTATTAAGTGGTATAAGGAAAGAAATTCTGCCTTTGTCATTGCTCGTGGTTTTGCGAAGCAGCAAGAATGGGAATAAAAACAGTGTTTGATCAGTTTTACTACTGCTGTTAAAAATCAGGGGTCGTTTTTAACTGCCAAATTCTGGTTTATTTGCTTCTCTGACTGGCAACATTTCAGTTATTTCAATTTATGTGGGTTTTATGTGTATTCCTCTCTGTCTGTGAATCCATCAGTGCTCCCTATCCATCCCATTTTCTTTTAAAAGCATAAAAGCGTGTGAGAAGAATTCCCAACTAGTTTAAAATATCCATACTTATTCAGTGTATGCCCCAAGCTGTCTAGTCAGTTCAGAGGCATATTGATGGGGAGTCTTTTGTTCATTTGGAACAGTCTTCCTTTTCTGAGGCCAGGGGGGAAAAGTCCCATTGATTGCAAGATGTGCACAGGTATTTGTGTGTTGTGTACATTTCTTAGTGGGATAACCTGAAAAAATACCATCTTCTCTAAACTTACTGTGTAAACAATCTAGCATCTTTGATTTCAATCTGCTTTCAAGATGTTCCCCTCAAACTCCCAAAATAACAGCAGCATTCACATGTTCTTCCTGTTTCTTTAGGCGTTAATAAATACATTAATACCCATAATTTGGCAATATTAATCAGAAATGGCTCTGATATGAACTGCTTTGTCAAATCATTGATACCAGCCCCATTAACAAGTTCCAGCTTAAAAAGGAGTCTAATAAAGAGCAATTAAAAGTAGCAAGTTCAATGTCATATATTACCTGAATTCCAGCCCAAGACAAAACCTGTGCTAAGGTTAACAAATGTGAAATGTATACAGATCATATCAGGACTTTGTTTATGGTTTATTTATATTTTATTTTATGGTGTTTGGTGGTTTATTTTACACAGGAACAAACAATCATGGCAAGGAACATTATAGACTCTTGTAATGGTTCTGTTTGGGTGTGATATAGAAATAATGGGATGATTGTCAACTGAAGTCTGCTTCTGTAATGATTTACCAAAAATTATCTGAATTATCAAGGTTAGCAATTAATGGCAGAGAAAAATTGAGTTTCATATGGCAATTAATGATTATTAAAGAAAATTCAGATTTTATTTTAGTCTTAACCAATCAAACACAGTCCAGAAATGTATTTTACCAACCATAAAGGTTGATGCTTCTTGAGGACCATTCTGAGGAACCCAGCAGCCCCACAGGATGTTATGTGGTATAGCTGAAGAAATTTTACAAGTGTAAAATGACAGGCACTGACAGACTCAGCTGGTTTATTTTAATTAAAACAAATACAGTAGAAATAGGAATGCAAAATTTAAATTCTCTCACCTTGAGTTGCCTGAACAATGCTTCCCAGGGACATGAATGCCTGAACGCACTGAGTCTGTAGGTGGACAAACACTTCTTTCCATCATTCATCACTTGCATTTGTGGAATGTTTCAGTGGTAGGACCTTGGCTTTGCCTTCTTTAGCCATTTCATCTGATTCAATTAGAGAAACTTCTCATCTTGCAGATATGAATGACACCCTGCTCACACTGGACCTGCAGGGTGTCTGTGTTACTGGGGAACCAAGCAGCTCATACCAGACATGCTTTAGTTACCTGTACGTTGGCAGCAAAACAGGAAAAGGGGGGGGGAAATGTAAATTGGAACTGCAAGTTTAATAGTTAGAGACACAGGATTGTGTAAAGCTCCTTGTGATTTTTCTTACACACGTTTATCTCCTCATGAAGTGTAATCTCCTTTGCCAGGCACTGAAGGAAGATGGGTAAAGGAAAAGCAGAGTAAGATTTAAACTACCAAAAAAAAAAAAAGGGGGGGAGGAAAAAAAAGATTAAATTGAAAATTTTGAGATTTTTAAGACCAAACCCTCCCACCATGGAAAGTCCCTCCTGCAGCAGAGTTGGGACTGTTCCCTTGTTCCCTAAGATAGGAGTGTAAGATTTCAAATTTCTATTTCCTGCCAACTCTTTTTGGAGAGCAGGAGATGGGAATTTGTCAAAGAGGATGAATAGTTGGAGACTAAGATGATCCACTGACTATTTCCTCTCTACCAGAGAACATGACCAGTGCAGAGGGTCTCCTGGGACTGCCTGCAGCTCCTGCCTGCATTAGTGGACATGTTCTGTCTCCTAGACCACAGCAGGTGGATCTTGCTTCAGGACCCTTAAATACCCTTTTGCTTTCAAAATGGAAGGCAGTCAAGTAGGAAGATTGGTAACACAATTTCTCAGTTTCATAAAAAAAGATCTGAAGCCTCGTTTCCCCCTGAAACCAAACCTTTCTATTTTCTTCTCATTTCAATTTCCTCCTTTCACCTGAAGCCTGCAGTGAAAGCTCCCAGGGACTGATGATCCTCAGGGATCAGCACTGTCAGAAAGGAGTCCCTTTGGGAAGGAGCAGGAGGGGACAGAGGGGAGAGCACGTGCAGAGCAGCGTCAGAGGTGGCCTGAGGAATGGTGGGAGTGTTTAGATGTGCTTATTTACCCACCAACATCCACTCTCAGCTTGTTCTCCACTATCCCCTGTTTGCTCTGCACTATTCCCTGGGGGTTTTTGTTGAGCAGGAATCCCCTGACAGTGCCCCAGAGAGCAGGGAGGATGGGAAGCCTCCAAAACTCACTGAATTCTTCCTCCCTTCTGGAGTGTCAGGGACAGCAGTTGAATATCAGTCTCCTCTGCACTGATCTCATAGGGAGAGAGTTAAAATAGTTGGGGTTCTAACTATTTGAGGTTTTTAATAATAAAATCATTAAATAGTTGCACTATCTTTGCAAATAAATAGTCATACAATACATTCACATTTATAACAGCTTCTTGGATGTGTCACTGCTCTGACAGAGGTTCACCCTTTTTTTCCTGTGCTTAAGCAAAGATAGTTTATTTTACATGATTTATGTGAGTCTGAAGAGCTTTAGATTTCACCATTTCAATGGCAGGGCTCAAGACCTTTGTGATCATTGGTGATACCTGTTGGTCCCTGAGGAAACTACTCCTTGGTCTATGTAAGGACATCTGGGAACACCCAGCACGTGTTAAACTTAGGATTCTGAGTATGGATAAGATGGAATTGTGATTTTACAACTCCATATTCAGTTTTTAGGTCAGACTGCTAAATAGGTGTTTTTAACACAATCC